GGCAGGCGCGTAGGTTGTGGCCGTGCTGGTCCCAGGACACGGGCAAGCGAGGAGGCTTTTTGGGGTGGATGCGGTCTCTTTTATTAGAGCAGCTCTAATAGTCGGAAAACATCTTTTTTATCAAGCTTTTGGGCGCAAATCTCGTGCGAAACGTCACCATCGTGCTTTCTCCCCCTAGGCTTGTGCAGCCTGAAAATCCGGCGCCGAAGCAAGCAGGTAGGAGGAGCATCGCTGAACCGCTTCATCAGGTTGCGGATTCCCAGGTAGGGCCGAAACGGGCAGTTGGGCTCTCGGCTTCGATCACCCGAATGGCACGGCCGCGGGGTAACGGGTGCGATTAAGACCCTTCTTCCAGGAAGGTGTTACCGGTGGTGACATTAGGGTTGTTGGGGCCCTGGGCATGAGAGTCATTTGGGGGCTTAATTTTGACGACCTGTAAGCACGCTGGACACTTTCCATTTCATTGCAGTTCCATGGGTAGGGCAAAGTGAAAGTATCGTACTACAGTATTGATAATACAAATATCCAGTGTAATTCATTTTTATTTTTATTAATTGTGGGGCCCTGGGAGGTCACCCGGCTTGCCCTCCATTAAGGCCATTACTGGTGCTACACGCGGTGATAACATGCAGCTTGAAAAACCAATCGTGGTTTCATGTTAAATATGACTGCATGGTTACATCTGAATATCAGAGAATTGCATGTCTTTCCATTCAGCTACTGGAAGGCGTTCCCTGTTTAGTCGGCAGAAACACTTTGCATTTTCCACCGTTCCTATTTTAAAACTCTTTTTTCTTTCACATCCTAAAAAAAATGAGACTGGTTTAGAAAGGAAATTCTTCCTTCCATCCAGATATCGTACAATCTATACTTAGTTTCCGGAGTTGGACTCCCAGGCTCCCTGGAGACTTGCTAAAGCCAGCACAGCCACTTTGTGTGCATTTGAGTTGGTAACGCTCAGTGATGTTTAGTGAGTAATGATTCATACTTTAAACAGTTCAGACCTAATGTCTTTGTGCAAGTTTGCCTTGCCTGGGACTAAAAGCAGACTTCTAAAGTTGTACCTTCCAGGATAAAAAGACTTAGAGTGTATGACTTTAATTTGGCTGATTTCTGACCCGGGATGTGTTGGCTTTCAGGTGGGGCATAATAGTCTCTCCTTTCTCACGGCAGGACTTGCTGGTTGCCATGCTAATGCTGCTCGCCTTTGGAGTGCTGCTGCAAGAAAGCCTGGCTGGTCCCCAAGATGCAAATCTCACTGAAGTCGGAAACCTTCCAGAAACGCCGTTATATAGCTACGAAAGTCTCAACTTGCCAGAGGAGCATATTCCATACTTTCTGCACAACCATCGGGCTCTTGCTGCAGCCTGTAAGCAGGACTCACATTGCCCATATAAAGTAGGTATTTCTTTGTTTTCTTAAATGGCGTTTTAGTGGTGGTTATTCTTAGAATCGTGGATATTAAAGTTGGTACGGAGCCGTTCGATGTTCTTGCCAATAAATAAGCCTCTTGTCTCTGGGATGAGAATTGCCGTTCCTTAAGGGCCCACTGAGTCCTTTTAATGAACTGCATTTCTGGTATTGTCAGGGAAACAGAGGTGGGGGGGGGAAACTCCTGCAGGATTTGAGATGCAAAGTTTTAGTGGAAACTATTTTCCTTAATTGCTCTTACAGCCAAAAAAAAAAAAAAAAAAA